TGACGTACACGTAAAAGATCAGTTGGAATTCGATATTAGAGTAGGCCATAGTACCACTGCCTGGGCAAAATTCCCTCACAGCACACTGCATGGCATATGCCGCAGTAGGAATAGAACAGTAGGACGTTAAACCCCATGTCATTTCATTTTGAAAGCAATAAGGAGAAATATTTACAACATGAAACCCTTTTTATGTCAGGGTTTTAGAAATAACAATATTTAATCCTGTCTAGTCCTTCGGATGAGACGAAAACCCGAGGTCCCGTGTAAACATTGGAATGCACGTAAAAGATCCCTTCGTAGTTGGAATTCGATATAAGAGTAGGCGATAGTGCCGCTGCCCGGGCAAAATTTCCCTCATAGCACACTGTATGGCGTATGCCCGTCTTCATTAGCCCAGTATAGGAGCAGAACAGTAGGACGTTAAACCCCATTTCATTTCATTTCATTTATCTAAATCTTACATAATATATCATTAATTATATTAATTTAGAAATCTAAACTGTTTAATCCGCGGTACATGTAATATTCTTGAATAATGCTCCTTGTTTACGGAACTCTCTATAACATCAATTACTGTCAACAAACATTATATTTTAGATGGCCGGGATGGGATGAAAAACCGAGGTCCCATGTACACATTGGCGTGCACGTAAAAGATTCCTTGTTCGATATAAGAGTAGGGCATAGTGCTGACCCCCCTCCCCCCGCACCCGGGCCAAATTTCCCTCATAGCACACTGTATGGTGTATGCCCGTCTTCATTAGCCCAGTCGGAGCAGAACAGTAAGACGTTAAACTTCATTTCATTTGGAAAGAAAGAAGGAGAAATATTTACAACACGAAACCCCTTGTATGTCAAGGTTTTAAAAATAACAATATTTAATCCTAGTTGTAACAAGGTACATAAACAAATAATTAGATCTGTCAAATATCCTTACAATCTAACAGCTGTATGTTATATCACCTAGAGATCGTTTCATAAGCTGTATTACTTTAAAATTTAAATATACACAAACAGGTTTAGGGTTGGGATAGTTGACTGTTACTGTCTCATGTAAGGTTCTCAAATAATTTGTCACGTAAACAACCAACAGTTTCTATAGGATGTTATGAAACATAAAAATACTATCTCTAATCCAAAGCTGTAGAATGAGTTAAACTACAAACAGTTTCAGTCGATCTGATGATGAAACATAAAAATACAATCTATCATCTGGTTGAAACAAACATGTCCGTGACCTGCTGTATATTCTATGAAGTTTCTCACAATTATTTCTTTTTCGTGAAATTTGACATTTTAACTTCTAAAGCTTTAAATCTGGTTTAAGCTGGCAATGTGGTCCAACACTTTCACAGTTGATGAGAAAGTATATTTTACCTCGGAATGATGTTCCCGGTGATAACTAGTACACAAAGTAAATACAACTTTTTCCAATCGATAGTCAAGAAAAGAGAGAGAGAGAGAGAGAAATGGGGTGTAACGTCCACTCGACAAAAACTAGGTCATTTCGGGACTAACATATGGTTTAATTTTATTTCCATAATTCGCTTGCACGTAGGTGTCTTTAGCAGTTGGAGGAAACCGGAGGACCCGGAGAAAACCCACGAGGTTGGACAGGCGACCCTACTCCTTGTCACGTACAACCGGGGATTCGAAACCATGCCAGTTGACTCAATGACAGTTTTTATGATACAACGCGCACGCACTAAACATTCGGCCATTACCCCCCTTGGAACCTCCAAAGAGCTAGAAATTGGTTTAGGTTGATCTTAAGTTGATGTGAATGAAGCCCTTCAGGATTAAGGAAGAAGCGAGAATATTTCCCACAGCACAATGTTGGTTGGTACAGGTACAATTGATTGATACAGGTACAATTGATTGATACAGGTACAACTGATTGATACAGGCTCAGTGAGTAAGACGTTGCCTCGCTAACCTGGAGGTCCCACGTTCGACCCCTGCATTAGCAAAAACATTTTATCAAGATTTTCAGGCGTGGGTCTCCCTTGTCCTGGCATGGGACAACGTCTAGTCGTTCGAATGGGGCGAAAAAACGAGGTACCATGTACATATTGACGTGCAAGTAAAAGAGCCCTGGACAGTTGGAATTCGATATAAGAGTAGGCCGTAGTGCCACCACCCGGGCAAAATGTCCTCATAGCACACTGTATGGCGTTTGCCCGTCTTCTTGAGTAAATTGGGAGCAGAACACTAGGACTTTAAACCCATTTCAATTCATTTCATTTCTTATAGACAAGACAGCGATAGACAACAATCTCATACCCCAAACTGATCACGTATCCATGGAAATAAAACTACCACGTTTTGTCCCGAATGACTCCAGTATACACTGTATTTTATATAAAAAAAAATCTAAAGTACAGGCAAGTAAAATAACAGGAGTTTACTTTTTATTCGTGTTTTAAGAAGCCAGCGGTTATTGCGACAATATTTTTTAATCAAATCATCGTACACACACCCATCCGAAAATAAAAACTAAGTGCTATTGTTCACCTTTGACAACAGGCTAAAATAATAATAATGTTGTGCTTAATCATCCATCATTATTTTACACTGTTAAAGTTGATATCGTTCTCTTATGAACAAATACATTTTACAAATAAAAATATATGGACAAATAGATCGAAGTCGTCATTTTATATATACATAGTCAGTTAAACATACATTATGAACGAGCAAAATCTGCCTATTTCAGGTCTTTCTTTAGGCCTGAAATGTTATCTAAATTATTAATTAGACATTAATTAACTTCCCCAGACCATAATCAACTCTCGATGGCATCGCTAGCCTGCGAAGTCTATTGGATTAGGTTCCGATTTCCTGGATAATCGAGACTATGTTTTTTTATCGTACCGACTTTAGTAATGATGATCGAGGCTAGGCCGAAAATTCAATCGTTAAAATCTCGGTTCAGAGATGATCAATTTGACTAAATTGCCTTTACATTATCTAGTTTTTAACTATTATAGTGACAACTGCAAACTCTTTATCTAATCTCCCATAATGTATCTTTAAAATTGTTAATAATTAAGCAGTAGTCATTAAGTAGGTGTTATTTCATTCAGGTGTTAAAACGGTGACTATTGAATGATATATATGACTAATGGTTGGGTTTGTGTATTCAATGATGTTACATCTAGTTGACACACCTGTTAATTTATGACTACCCGGTACCTGTACAATGTCTAACAAGGTTCTATACATATTCCATCTTCATTAGCCCAGTCGGAACAGAACAGACGTTAAACCCAGTCGGAGCAGAACAGACGTTAAACCCAGTCGGAACAGAACAGACATTAAACCCAGTCGGAGCAGAACAGACATTAAACCCAGTCGGAGCAGAACAGACATTAAACCCAGTCGGAGCAGAACAGACATTAAACCCAGTCGGGGCAGAACAGACATTAAACCCAGTCGGAGCAGAACAGACATTAAACCCAGTCGGAGCAGAACAGACGTTAAACCCAGTCGGAGCAGAACAGACGTTAAACCCAGTCGGAGCAGAACAGTAGGACGTTAAACCCCATTTCATTTCTATACACAGCACACTGTATGGCGATAGTTCGTCTTCATTAGCCCAGTAAAAGCGGGACAGTAGGACGTTAAACCCCATTTCATTTCATAACACACTGTATAGCGATAGCCCGTCTTCATTATCCCAGTCGGAACAAAACAGTAGGACGTTAAACCCCATTTCATTTCCCTCATAGTACACTGTATGGCGACAGCCCGTCTTCATTAGCCCAGTCTGAGCAGAACAGTAGGACGTTATATCCCATTTCATTTCATTACATACTAAATATTAATTTAGTGTAATGATCATTTTTATGACTTATTGGCAAAAATGTTGATTATTAAAAGGCCTAGATTCATAAGTCAGTGGTATTAGCCAGGGTTCACATTTATAACCCCACTTGTTAAACAAATTATCAAATAACTTTACTATGTTTAGACACTGGTGATATCAATAGTTTTTGTTGTTGTTTTTTTAAAAAAAACAAGTGAAGTAAAGCATTTATTAACAACTAAGAAATAAAATGGGGTTGATCATCTTATTTTTCTGAGTCACCTCTGATAAAACGCCATGATAATAATACTAATAATAATTTATTTATAGAGCGTTTATAATCCAACATTGTGTTGCTCTATGGCGCTATGTGATATAGGTAACCGCTTTTGCGTACACGGTAACATATAAACGGAAACTAGGCGCTGATCAGTTTCCTCCACACACAACTAGGTGAAACCACAGAACGTCCTCGACCTGCACCTTGGAAATTTCCTCGGATTTTCCGGCGTGGCTTCCTCTAGTCAGAGGTACATTTCCCCAGTCGCCGCGGAAAAGTATTACATTAAAACTCAATTCATTTCACTGATTATTTCTCTTTTTTTTCTTTTTTTTTTATTTAAATTAGAGAGAGAGAGAGAGAGAGAGATGGGTTTAACGTCCACTCGACACAAACTAGGTCATTTCGGGACTAACACATGGTTCAACTTTATTTCAACAATTCGCTTGCGTGTAGGGGTCTTTACAATGAGAGAAAACCGGAGGACTTGGAGAAAACCCAAAAACGATTGACAGTCGACCCTACTCCTTGTCACGTACAACCGGGGAATCGACACCACGCCAGTTGATTCAATAACAGACCTTATGATACTACGCGCACGCTAACGATAAGATGATACTTGTCGAAACGTTGTGCTTTTAGAATAAAACCAGTGATTGTTTCCCATAAAAACTGTGTTATGTTAATGTGTTTCCCAATCGCTAAATGTCACTTAACGATTTTAGGGTTTATATATTTATCGCCATTAAATAAAATCCAAAAAGTAAATTATTCGGCGTAAAAATCTAAACATTTAATATCGGCAAATAGAAAATGAATATACGATTTAAATATTTAATATCGGAGAGATATTGTTTTAAAAACAAATCGTTGAACATGCAATTATTGTTACAGAAAATATGAACTCACCCGTAGAAATAACTGTAACAACATATATAACAAATTTTCCAGTCATCTTGTTCATGTTCACGTCTGACTTTCTCCGTCTCTAAATAAAGTAAAAACTAACAGAAAAAGAAACGTCCGGCTAATTTAAGTCTTTTAATCCCCGTCTGTATGTTTAGTCGTAAATAGGTCTATTTTACGACAATCACGTTAACACCTTAACGCCACCACTCGCTGACAGTACTGACTACCCGACGACACTACTTGCACGTATTTCTATGACAACGCCCCATAACTCGAATGGCGACAAACTTGACGGCGTGAGACCAGGACGTGATTGAGAGAGGTTTGATTTCTGGGAGACGAACGCGAATGGAACAATCTGTCCTCGTCATTGGCTAAACTCTGTAAACAATTTTTGTGTATGTTTGTGGTATGAAAGTCGCACAGAAACATCCTAAACAAATATGGCCACTGTCCACAGTGTTCTTGCGATATTGATCTTCCTGTGGTCGATATTTTGTAACTTTTTAAATAAAGCCGATTTTACTAAGATACAGTACATAGATATAGCTGTAGGTTTTATGTTACTGTAACCAATTTTTCTAATTAAAGATACATTATTCAAGAGTTAAAGAGAGAGACAGAGACAGAGAGAAATGGGGTTTAACGTCCCCACGACACAAACTAGGTCATTTCGGGACTTACATTTGGTTTAATTTTATTTCTATGATTCCCATACGCGTAGGGGTCTTTAGCAGTGGGAGGAAACCGGATGACCCGGAGAAAATCCACGAGGTTGTACAGGTGACTACCCTCACGTACAGCCGGGGATTCGAAACCACGCCAGTTGACTCAATGACAGACCTTATGATACAGCGCGCACGTGCTAACTATTCGGCCATCCAACCCCCCTATTCCAGAGTTAAATCTGCCTATTGAGGATTTTTTGTTTGGCCTCAAATGTTATATAAACTATTAATGAGAAAAATACATTTATTGACATGCCAGGCCCATAATAAACTTTGTAGAACTTCGGATTGTATGGATTTTAAACAGATTTAAATACGATTGGCAGGTAGTGACTTAATTTAAAAGTGGATAATCGAGACTTTGTTTATCAAGGGTAACAATGACAATCGAGACTACGATGTTCTGCAAACGACGATAACTCTGCTCGGAATGTAGTAATTTGACGGAAATTTTCAACATATTCCACTTTCATTATCTATTTGAAAGAGAGAGAACGAGAGATGGGGTTTAACATCTACTCGACACAAACTATGTCATTTTCAAACTTACATATGGTTCAATTTTATTTCAATAATTAGCTTGCGTGTAGGGGTCTTTGGCAATGGGGGTAAATCGGAGGATACCTGGAGAAAACCCAAGGTCTAGAAAAAGCGACCCTACTCTTTGCCATGTACAATTGGGGAATCGAAACCACGCCACATGACTCACTGACAGATCTTATCATTCCACGCATGCGTTAAAATGGCAATCGAGGGTTCGCTATTCCAAAATAGCCCTATCGTCGCTCAGAAAAAAGTAATTTGACTGAAATTTTAAAGATTTTTCCTTTTGATTGTCTATTTTTAAAATATTTTAGTGAGAACTGTCAGCTCTTTAATCTACATCTTACCTAATGCATATTTTTATATTTTGAATTCCTCTGAGTCTCGGGATCACGTGGCTAAATGGGTAAGACGCTGGCTCGCTAGCCTGGAGGTCGGGTATTTGATCCCTGCATTGGCCGAGAAAATCCATCCAGATTTTCCGGCGTGGTTCCCCCTTTTCAGTGATGCAGGACGGAGGGCCTGACAAGGACAGCTGTCTAGTCCTTCGGATGATACGAAAAACCGAGGTCCCGTGTATAAATTGGAATGCACGTAAAAGATCCCTTGGCAGTTGGAATTCGATATAAGACTAGGCGATAGTGCCGCTGCCCGGGCAAAATTTCCCTCATAGCACACTGTATGGCGTATACCCGTCTTCATTAGACAAGTTAAGGAGCAGAACAGTAGGACGTTAAACCCCATTTCATTTCATTTCATTTCATTTTCCCTGAGTCTCGGTCTATTCTCATCAGTCATCAGATCCACTCTAAAGTTTGCTGAAATTCAAACATTTTCTTGCTCTCGAACCACCCCGGTCTCAGTGCCCCAGATTCCCTTGTGATAATAGGCTTAGACCCAATGACTGGTCCCCAATGGCTCCTCATCTTCCTGTTGTTTTTAGGCAGCCACGGTGGTTAAGTGAGTAAGATGCTTGCTCGCTAGCCTGGAGATCGCGTGTTCGATCCCGGTATTGGCCGAGAAAGTGCATCGGGATTTTCCGGCGTGGTTGCCCCTTGTCAGTGGTGCAGGACGGAGGGCCTGACAAGGAAAGCTGTCTAGTCGTTAGGATGGTACGAACAACCGAGGTCCTGTACTGTGTATACATTGGCATGCACTTAAAAGATCCCTTGGTAGTTGGAATTCGATATAAGAGTAGGACGTGGCGCCGCTTTCGGGTTAAAACTTCGCTCATATCACACTTCATTAGCCCAGTCGGAGCAGAATAGTAGGACGTTAACCCTCATTTCATTTCTGTTGTTTTTGGTAGGCGAGGCCCCTCGCAGATAAACAAATCCTAAGACTTCAACAATTTAAGTACGATCTACATTAAACTGTGCATGCGTGCATCGATTGACTAACTTGGATATTAAATATGGCGTCACAATTCCAAGATGGCGGCGATGAGGTTAACTTAAGGGCGTTTAATGCTTCTTGCAAAAAGTCCACCTTTTTTTATTGGGTTGACTTTATTTCTTCTACTATTTGGTTAGAAATAAATATCAGGCGAGACGAAAACGCGTCACGATCGAGCTTTAATCTCAGTTGTAGATTCTTGTTCGGGATGAAATGAATGCCTAACATATCGGAAGTTCATCCGAAGAACATTCACAAACAAATAACGGAATTCTGTAGAAAATATCCGCTTCTTTTCAAATTCTGTTTCTTTATAATACAAGCAATCATTTAACCGTTTCACTACAAATCATCCTGCGTGGTCTACATTCGCCAGGGGTTGGGGGATGTATTCGCGTTGTATCATAAGGTCTGACATTGAGTCAACTGGCGTGGTTTCGATTCCCCGATTGTACGTAACAACGATTAGGGTCGCCGGTCCAACCTCGTGGGTTTTCTCAGGGTTCTCCGGTTTCCACCCACTGCTAAAGACCCCTACGCGCATGCGAATAATTGAAATAAAATTAACCCATAAGTTAGTCCCGAAATGACCTGGTTTGTGTCGAGTGGACGTTAGCCTGCTCTCTCTCTCTCTCTCGCCAGAATATCTTTCACTCTGCGTGGTCTACATTCACTAGATTATCTTTCTGTGTGTCTATATTTCTTTATTTGTCTCTGACAACCTCAAATAAAGCTTCCCATATCTGTTCATGTGCACTTTAGGTCACATGTGTCGGTCTTGTTTGGACTATTCCGACTTTCGTAGCCTACGGTTAGTTACGTGAATCTACGAAAAGATATTTTACAACATTATGTTCAGATTGAAATGTTTTTAAAACTCGATGTCCAGGAATTAGGTTGGAACGCCCGTTTCTATTTTAATGATTTTTACTTTGTTATAATTGTTTGTTATATTAATTGTACATATGTTAAAGTTAATATATTTTAAAGTATTTGTTGTGGTGGGTTTTGGGGCTACAACCCCACTAAACGTGTTTGGATATTATTAAACGTTCTTACGAATTTGGGTGGGAGGTTCGATGGCCGAATGGTTAGCACGTGCGCGTTGTATCATCGTAAGGTCTGTCATTGAGTCAACAGGCGTGGTTTCGATTCTCCGGTTGTAGTTGTTCGTGTCAAGGAGTAGGATCGACTGTCCCACCTCATGTGTTTGCTGCCACTGCTAAAGACCTCTACACGCAAGCGAATTATTGAAATGAAATCGAACCATATATTAGTCCCGAAATGACCAAGTTTGTGTCAAGTGGACGTTAAACCCTGTTTCCCTCTCAAGATATATAATATATTTATATATATGTAATTGGGAAGAAGACGGCATATCATTTACCCGGCTACAATTTTGACAACACAGAACCCTATATGTTTGTGGTGTGATGGGGTGGTGGTGGTGGGGGGGGGGGGGTAAATTTTGTGACCGAGTTGCTAAATGAAAGCTGACAGAAAATAGTGTAATTGTCGATAACTGACATAAAATGTGTTACGCTTGTCATAAAATATCTCTTCAGGCCCGCGGAGGGGGGGGGGGGGCTGTGTGGTTTATTGTAAATATGTTTTATCGTGGTCTACTAGACTGTGTTAAGTCAGGGAAGGGGCTGTATGATTTATAGTAAATATGTTTTATCGTGGTCTACTAGACTGTGTTAAGTCAGGGGGGTGGCTGTATGATTTATAGTAAAAATGTTTTATCGTGGTCTACTAGACTGTGTTAAGTCAGGGAAGGGGCTGTATGATTTATAGTAAATGTTTTATCGTGGTCTACCAGACTGTGTTAAGTCAGTTTAATTATAGTTTGGATGTTGCTGTTTTGTTAGGTGGATACATTGTGTTGTTTTATTTTTTTAAAAAATAATAATTTGGGTTTGGTTTTTTGGGGGGGTTATTTTATTTTATTTTTTATTTTTTTTATTTTATTTTCTTTTTTTTTTTTTTTGGCGTTTCATATTTTTCTATAAAAAGCTCTCCAAAAAGTGGCGACTCATAACATTAAAATAGTCACCCTTAAAAAAAAATCACCAAAAACAAATACCGTTGTCGATCATTTACTATATATTTTATTATCATTATCATTAGTATTATTTTTATTATTATTATTATTTTTATTATTATTATTATTTTTATTATTATTTTTATTATTATTATTATTATTTTATTAATATTATTATTATTATTATTATTATTATTTTTATTATTATTATTATTTTTATTATTATTATTATTATTATTATTATTATTATTATTTTTATTATTATTTTTATTATTATTATTATTATTAATTTCCTCGATTTCTTTACCGGTTGTGCTGTATGTTACTGACACCTGATCTGACATCAGTCTTCTATCGGTCTGGAGGGATGTTCTCGAGATCAATCGGATTAAAACACAGATCCTATTTCGTTTAATTTTTATAGTTCAAAATTTCGTTTTACTTGTCTTTACTACACGAGGATCTGGAAGAGTTGTTATCATTGACGTGTTCTGGATAATATGAGGGATTAGCCAATGAAACGGTCTGTTACGGCGAGTTCTTGGCCTTTTTATGCACGGAACTCCCACTATAACTTGCCAGATCTTCATGTAGTGTAGACCAGTATAAAGTATAAAAAACGAAACGAAATATAAATATGTATTTTTATCAGACTGTCCTTGAGATTTTCCTATGTACGTTTCCCTTGTCGGTGGTCCTGAACGTATTCCTGGCACGAGTCGCTGTCCGTACGAAGCTTCTTCATGACAGCACACTCTATGGTATATCCCCGTCTTCAATATCCCGGTTTAACTCCGTTGTACTCGTCTCAACTAAAGGCGCTAATGATGTCTCACAGACATTGTTCCTTGGGCTATGATGGAAACTGGGGGAAGTTGGACAGACATTGTGCCTTGGGCTATGATGGAAACTGGGTGAAGTTGGACAGACATTGTGTATTGGGCTCTTGTGGAACCTGGGTCGAACTTGATAGTGTTCTTTTACATAGCTCCAATGGAACGACTAGAGGGTGCTTCTTGCATCCAGGGACTATCCCTTGGGTCGAACATCCTGGTCAGTGCGAACTCCGCAGTTAGACAAACAATGTCGGGATCGACATCACAGCCCTTGATACAATTATAGCCCCTATTATTCACCAGAACAAATATTCTGTCCAGTCGGCGATGGATCCTGGTCGACCCAAACTATGTACATGTACACGTAATTCAATATATACATGTGACTTGATGAAGGTAGCCTGATTGTACTAGTTGCTGAATGGCTTTCACATTTACTAAGTTCCATGGTATTGGTTTGAAATTCTGGGCCCTGTTTCACGAAATTTTAACTAAGATAAAATCCAAATTTTAGCATTTTGATTGGATAATATTAGATTGATTTTAGTGCTTAGCCAATCAAAATTGAAGTATAAACTAAAATTTGGATTTTATCTTTAGTTAAGATTTCGAAGAAAACATTATCGTTTAAGTTGTATTTAAGAAATGAAATGAAATGAAATGAAATGGGGTTTAACGTCCTACTCTTCTGCACCTAACCTGGGCTAATTGAAGACGGGCATACGCCATACAGTGTGCTATGAGGGAAATTTTGCCCGGGCAGCGGCGCTACGGCCTTCTCTTATATCGAATTCCAACTGCCAAGGGATCTTTTACGTGGACGCCAATGTGTACACGGGACCTCATCCGAACGACTAGGCAGCTGTCCGTGTCAGGCGCTCCGTTTTGCATCACCGACAAGGGGAAACCACGCCGGAAAATCGAGATGAACTTTCTCGGCCAATGCAGGGATCGAACACCCGACCTCCAGGCTAGCGAGCCAGCGCCTTACCCACTAAGCCATCGTGATCCCCAAGTTGTATATAAGAGGAACACGTATGTGTAGGCTACTGGCTAATGTTTGGTTTGCTTTTTTGTCGAGTTATCAAATCTTGCGTGGCCTCCGAGAAGCGGGATTAGGAGGCAGGTTGGATATCCGAAAAGCGGAAGAAAGGGCACAACCTGGACGTCCTACAGCCGACGAGGAAAAGGGGCGAGACAGAATTGACATCTGAATACGGAGGAGGTTGGGGGGGGGGGTAATGGGACATGCAGGAAATCGGCGAGGAAAGTGTGTGGTTTCCTGCTGGACATCTGAGAATCGGGGGCGCTGAGACGGGTGCTTTATCTGAAAGGCGGAAGAGGAGGGGGACATCCGAGAGTAAATGGACAGACCGATGGAAGGGGATAGGCGCGATAACGGAGAGGTAGAAGTACAGGACAGATGGGCATCCGAGAAACGAGGGTTGGAGAATGACGGGATATCCAAGAGGTGCAAGTAAGCGATATCCAAGAGACCGGAATAAAGGGACATGTCGGTCATTAGAGAAGTGATGGAAAGGGGACATGCCGGACGTTAGGGTAAGCAGACGTGTCGGTCGTTCAAGAAGCGAGCGAGAAGACAAGCAGGTCATTCGAGGAGCGAGGGTAAGGGAACATACCGGAGATTCGAGGAGCGAGGATAAAGGGAAATGCTGGATATTCAAGAAGTAAGGTTATGGGGAAATGCTGGACATTCAAGAAGCGAGGGTAAGGGGAAATGCCGGGTACGGGACCTCGAATTTTCGCCCCATCCGAACAATTATACACTTTGGGTAAAAAAAAATATAATTAATACGTACATTTCAGGTCAATGAACATGAATGATAAACGTGAATAATGATCAAATAAAATGAAATGAAATGGGGTTTAACTTCTTACCGTTCTGCTCCTACTGGGCTAATAATGACGGACATACGCCATGCAATGTGTTATGGGGGGAATTGTGCTAGGACAGCGGCGCTACGGCCTGCTCTTAAATCGAATTCCAACTGCCAAGTGATCTTTTACGAACGACTAGACAGCTATCCTTGTCAGATCCTCCTCTGTGCACGCACCACTGACAAGGTGAAACCACGACGGAAAACCCCGATGAACTTTCTCGGCCAACACCGGAAGCGAACCCGTCATTGCCATAGGAGTTTTCCAATAAGCACACTTCGACGCATTCTGATTAAAATACACATCTATATTTCGTTTCGTTTTTTTACACTTTCGACGGCCTCTACTACATGAAGATCTGACCGGTTGTAGTGGAAGGTTGCGTCAGAGGTCATACGAGCGGCTTCAGATATTTGATTAACCAATCAGCGTTGATGTTTCTAGTGGTTTACCCACAGTTCCGTGCACCCCATTCGATAATAACCAGAACGCGGGTTATATAACAACTCTTCCAGATCCTAGTGTAGAAAAGACAAGTAAAACGAAATTTTGAACTATAAAAACGAAACGAAATAGGATCTTTGTTTTAATCAGATTGTTGAAAGTCAGTTAAATATAATAATATTACAAAATACCAAATGTTGGTCAGTATTTTATTATAATTTATTATCAGCAACACCATCTAGTTCCGATCTACAAGTTTGTAGTTCCTCACCATTTTCGCTTTAATTGAATAATCTCCATTCCATGCTCTGAAATTATGTTAAAGATGCATTATACAAGAGCTAAATCTGCCTATTGCAGGTCTTTCTTTAGGCCTGTAATGTTATATAAATTATTAATTAGACATTAATTAACATGAAAAGACCATAATCAGTTCTCAATGCCATCTTATCTGTTCGATTGTCTTTGGATTTGAATCCGAGCTGCTGTTCAGCGTCCATCGATGATTAATCGCAAAAGTGGATAATCGAGACTTTGTTTTTTTTTATCGTACCGATTTTAGTAATGATGATCGAGGTTAGCCTAAAATTCAAAAGCTAGCATCTCGGTTTAGAGTGGAGCAATTTGACTGAAATTTTCAACATTTTCTGTTTACGTTATCTATTGTTTAACTATTATAGCGAGAACAGTCAACTCTTTATCTAATCTCCCATAATTCCCCTTTAAGTATATGGATAATATTCACTAGGGCGACGTGGTTTCCAGTTGTCAGAGGTGCAGAACGGAGGGCCTAACAAGGACAGCTGTCTAGTCCTTCGGATGAGACGAAAAACCGAGGTCCCGTGTATATATTGGAATGCACGTAAAAGATCCCCTGGCAGTTGGAATTCGATATAAGAGTAGGCGATAGTGCCGCTGTCCGGGCAAAATTCCCCTCATAGCCCACTGTATGGCGTATGCCCGTCTTCATTAGCCCAGTATAGGAGTAGAACAGTAGGACGTTAAACCCCATTTCATTTCATTTCATTACTAAAGGGGTATTATTTAAGACTAGATACAAAATCTGACAGTTCTCACTGTAATAGTTAAAAAATAAGATAATGACAAGGGAATATGTAGAAAATTTCAGTCAAATTACTCCCCACCAGAACATAGACTAGCCATCCTCTTCACATTAAAGCCATGCTATTTCTTGGCCATTCTTTCATTCCACAATCTGATTACAACAGATCCTATTTCGTTTCGTTTTTTTTATAGTTCAAAATTTCGTTTTACTTGTCTGTACTACACCAGGATCAGGAAGAGTTGTTATATAACAGGCGGGCGTTCTGGATGGCATGAGGGATTAGCCCATAAAACCATCTGTTACGGCGACGTCTTGGCGTGCGATGCATGGAACTGTGGGTAAACCATTAGAAACGTCAGCGTTGATTGATTAACGAATATCTGACGTCATAGGGTCAAAAACTGCTCGTACGATCCCTGACGTAACCTATCGCTACAACTGGTCAGATCTTCATGTAGTGTAGGCCATCGAAAGTATAAAAAAAACTAAACGAAATATAGATCTGTATTTAAATCAGATTGTTCATTCCAATGATATTAATCTTTATGACCACAAATATCCCAACATGTTCCAATCGCCAGATGAAAATATTGCAGGGGGTTGACCTAGACCTGGTTCAAAGGAATCTATAGGCTACCATCATTTTATTAGGCGATCACCCTAATTAAGATTACTTCCTAATTCTTCTGCCTCAAAATCATGAATATTCACCACAACCGGGAATAAAATGTAATTTCAAAAACACCCTTCTTCAGTTATAGATCAAAATAGGAGAAAAATATGACACGCAAAAGTGGGAGATGAATTGCTCTCACAAAATGGACAAAATTCTTGATTAGAAGTTGATCCTAGTTTTTGTCTTGGAATAGAGTTAGACTGTTAACAAAGGGGTTAGTTTACAAGCGCACCTGTAGTCTGGATATGTTTGACCTTACCTCCGTTTGCAGGCGCACCTTTAGTCTGGATAAGATATACCTTAGGCCTACCTCCGTTTGCAGGCGCACCTGTAGTCTGGATATGTTGGACCTTACCTTAATCTGCATACGCCCTCAAAATCCGGAAGATCAAACGGTATTTCCTTTAGTCCAAAGCCACGATTGTTAACACAGGTTAATTTACTATCACATCTGCAAAATATTTAGATTCACATAATTATTGATTACACAGGCTTCCCGCCGAACAGGCTAATCTATCCTGCTGCCCGTCCCCTTAATTCCAATGACCAAATGGTTCTTATGTACAAGCCATCCAAACAACTATAGCTAAATGCTGTTCATTATCAGGTTTTTCGTACTTCGTGGGGTTGGGGGATCTAGTGGTCTTTGATCATAAGGTGTGTCATTCAGTCAAGTGGCGGGGTTTCGATTCCCCGCTTGTACGTGACAAGGAGTTGGGTCGCCAGTCCAACCCCGTGGGTTTTCTCCGAGTCCTCCGGTTTTTGTTTTTGTTTTTTTCGGGAAATTGAAAATCGGTAACAAATTGTCTAATGCTAGGTTCCCACTGTCATGCGATGCGTTACCATGTCCCTATTGGGTCCCCGATCTGGTACGTGCAGATACATTCTGATACGTTTCGATACGATCAACGGGATTGCTAAGATTGACCTTAATATATATAATAAGACCTAATAGGATCACCACGATTATTCCACGATTAAAACCACGATTTCTATCGTAGTGCGAATCGCGATAGCGGAAACCGAGCAGAAAAGAACTCACGGAACTGTTTTGTAACTGCATTTAGCCCTTCTTTTAAGGGCACATTCATCACAACAGCCACAAGGACGACGTTTTAGTTCACAGCGTCTCTTGGTCGGTTTGGGACAGACGATATTCTCTGGACACGGCTTACATCCGCCCGGATCCTCATCACTGATAGTCTCTTGTAACAAGTAAAGACAGAAAAGCACGAGGCTTAAAACAAGTCCCTTTCCTAGCCTCATTTTTGTCGTAGTCTGTACTACAGCTTGATAAAGTCTTTAAATGAATTTTCAATCAATTCAGTTATTCAAAATTCATATAACTAGCGGGTCACACCTGTTGTTTTTGCCGACTGTCCTATAAAAATATATTTTTATCTTTTACGTGACGTCAGGTAGTATTGATCTGTGAGTAGGTTGGGTTGTTCTCGGGGCAGTTCTAGGAACACGTACGAATATTAAAGTACATCAATACTACTAAGCGACGTTAAAAATGGATTGATACATTTCTGCACCACCCGGACTAATGATTGCGGGCATGTGGTGTCATACAGTGTGCTAAGGAGATAATGATGGCGGGCATGTAGTGTCATGCAGTGTGCTAAAGCGATAATGATGGCGAGCATGTAGTGTCATGCAGTTTGCCATGGAGGTAATGAAGATAGGCATGTGTCATGCAGTGTGCCAAGCAGGTAATAAAGGCAGGCATGTGTCATGCAGTGTGCTAAGGAGATAATGATGGCGGGCATGTAGTGTCATGCAGTGTGCTAAATAAGTAATGATGGCGGTCATGCAGTGTGCTAAGTAGATAATGATTGCGGGCATGCAGTGTCATGCAGTGTGCTAAGGAGATAATTATGGCGGGATGTAGTGTCATGCAGTGTGCTAAGGAGGTAATGATTGCGGGCATGCCACACGCAGTGTACTACGGGGGTAATGTTGACTACTCTTCGTCAAATTCTAACGGTCTTTTCTACAATGATATCTCGATGTTCCTTGTCAGTCCTTCTGCCATAACCACGCCAACAGTATCTCAGTGGTCTTTGCCTGACCTTCCGTCATAACCACGTCAACAGTATCTCAGTGGTCCTTGCCAGACATTCAGTCATAACCACGCCAACAGCATCTCAGTGGTCCTTGCCAGACCTTCCGCCATGTATCACTGACATGGGGGACCACACTGACGTTTCTCGGTCAACACCCAGACCAACCCCGAGTCTGGATAGTGTACCAGCTCGCTACCCAGCAATTCACAACGGGTCATATATCAGATATCACCCCCTCCATGTTTTTATTATAGATAAGATGATAGTCTATCTTTATTTCCTGGTGACTTGTATAATATTTTAACCGGTGTAAACGTAGAAGAATTTATGTTACAAATATTTCAGTATATCATTTTAAGGTTCGGACCGTGTTATTTGTGTGGACCAGGGGCTTTGTTCGGTTTTGGCATCGGGCTAATGAACACGGGCATACGTCCTATCTGAACGGCTATACACTGTTTCTTGCCAGATCTCACCCTCCCATTCCTGTACAGAAGACATAGGGAAACCACGCCGGAAATCCAGAGGAACTTTCGCGGCCAACACCAGGAGCAATCACAATCTGATTAAAACACAGATCCTATTTCGTATCGTTTTTATAGTTCAAAATTTCATTTTATTTGTCTTTACTACACTAGGATCTGGAAGAGTTGTTATCATTAACGTGTTCTGGATAATGTGAGGGATTAGCCAATGAAACGGTCTGTTACGGGGAGTTCTTGGCCTTTTTACGCGGAACTGTGGGTAAACCAGTGGACACGTCAACGCTGATTGATTAATTAATGTTTGATGTCATAGGGTCAAAAGCCGCTCTTTGACCCCTGACGTGAACTTCCACTATAACTTGTCAGATCTCCATGTAGTGTAGGCCATTGAAAGTATAAAAAAACGAAACGAAATACATCTGTATTAAAATCCGATTTGAGCAATCCCAGCTTTCCAACACAGAACTATTTCTTGAGCCATTAGTCTCTTTAAAATCTCTTTTGTCGCTATTGATCCAATTGTTTACGAATTAAAATGTAATTAGGTCATTTTGGGACTAACATGATACAGTGTTATTTCAGTATCATTGCAAGCTAACTGTTCGTTCATTCCTGGAGTTTTACGTCCATTTCCACCAAGGGTGATACAATCTGTTTCACAGAGATCTTCTAATATCTCTGTAACAGATGACTGTTTCGACACGTGAAGTCACATCACTCGGCGTCAATCATTGGCTCTATACCGCGTGCATTGTTTACATAAGACGTTACTGATTTGGGCTAAATGGTGAATTTTACTTATTTTAATACCCATTTACACTAAATAGGAAAGGATTTTTACCTACAAATAATTTAAGCGTCTTTATTTATTTTTCTAACAAATGAAAAAAAAATTTTAGAATTTAATTTGACGGAAGACAAAAGTTAATATTTGGGACTCATTAGGTCGCATCGATGTCATCCATATCAGTGATTGTAGCGGCCTAGCGAAAATTCACTGCTGATCAGTGTGACGATGATATCGTAGACAAGGCGGGCGCGGCATATAGATCATAACTTTTATATGAATCAGTCCTCAGGGGATCGGCACCAGGGTGGCAATGTGGGTCGGACTGTACCTGTAGGCCATCTTCCCTGTGGTCATGCATTAGGCTATGAAATCTGGGTTAACGTCCTACTGTTCTGCTCCCACTGGGCTAATGGAGCCGGGAAATGAAATAGGGTTTAACGTCCTACTGCTCTGCTCTCACTGGGCTAATGGAGCCGGGAAATGAAATCGGGGTTAAAGTTACAATTTCATATTTTCTAAGAAAGTCAAAACATAATTATTTTTATGTCTTTTGCTCAATAGGTTGTCAACTCACTATTATACGATCTTTCTCACACTTAAAAATCTTCACACCGGAAATAATAACACAATTACTTCCGAATTACCTCCCTTGTTTTCTATTCCCCACCATGGAATAGCTATCTTCAACCGTTTGAATTTGAAGTTGAAAATGATATTTTTGCCAATTTCTCAACTGGCAATAGTGAATTATAGGATTAATAGGTAGGATTATTCTTTAACAAGGTAGGGCTGTTTATACATACCATCTATTTTAGGCCTTTATTTTAATACATTTTAAAAATATGAAATTGTAACTTTCACGTCCTACTGTTCTGTTCTCACTTGGCTAATGGAGCCGGGAAATGAAATAGGGTTTAACGTCCTATTGTTCTGCCCCCACTTGGCTAATGGAGCCGGGTTTAAGGTCCTACTGTTCTGCTTAAAGATGCACCGCCCCAAACCCCCACCTCTCCCTAAAACCCATACACGGAGTTATAACCGTTATGTAACAGACGCCCTATTTAATAGAGCTAATTTAAATAAGAATAACAATCTATCATAAGGTGTCATATATTGATATTAATATCATAAATCATATTTTATATCATACATTATCTACATGTATCGATTAAAATCGATCTATCTGTCAATACATTTCACCAGTTTAACCTATAAATACGTCATGATAAGTTATTACGGCCCAGAATAGAAACAGTTTTAACACATGGGTTAGCTTTCCACGCGGCAACAGGGGGCCAAGGTGGCTAAGTGGGTAAGACGCTGGTTCGCTAGCCTGGAGGTTGTGTGTTCGATCCCTGCATTGTTCATCGTGATTTTCCAACGTGGTTTCCCTCCCCTTGTTGGTGGTACAGTGCGGAGAGCCTGACAAGGACAGCTGTCTAGTCGTTCGGAGGGGACGAAAAACCGAGGTCGTGTGTATACATAGGCATGCACGCAAAGATCCCTTGGCAGTTGGAATTTCCCTCATTGCCCGTCTTCATTAGTCCAGTCGGAGCAGAACATTAGGACGTTAAACACCATTTCATTTTATTTTATTTTTCCTCATAACGTGGGCTAAACACAGAGATCTTGAACAGATAGATATATTGATATTCAGTGGGGTCAATGGTCACTATAACGCGATCAAACTTAAAGGGCATGTGGCTATATTCTCTGAAATCTTAAAATAGACAAAAATGGTTCTAAAAGCACATATTAATGTAATATGAAAGTATGTAAAGTGATTTATGTTTAATTTTTTTTTTTTTTTTTTTAAATATTGTAATGTCTAATTAATTATGTTCGGCGTAATACAGCGCACACGTGCTAACCATTCGGCCATCCCCCCCCCCCCCGAATATTGATAAGTTCGTCCTCTAATGGCCAATGCTTCACACTAAATTTTATTTTCCACTTTTATGGAACAAATTACCACAGCATCCGTATTGATAAACTAATATAAGCGCATGTACACAGTTTTATAAATGAGTTTTAACGTTTTACTGTTCTTAATTAACCGGAATAATTAATTTCACGGGCAGTTCGAGCTATATGGTAAGGGCATTAACTCACCTGAAGAAATGGGATACAGACCACTATAGATTTTTCCATTAACAGCACTGCTAATTTTCACCACAGCTCTAATCTAATTTAATCTAAATCCAGACCACTACAGATTTTTCCATTAACAGCACTGCTAATTTTCACCACAGCTCTAATCTAATATAATCTAAATCCAGACCACTACAGATGTTCCCGCTGACAATAACGTTAATCCTCCTCACGACTGTAACGTAATGGTGGGGGTTCGAATGATGTAACGAGTGCAATTAAGATCGTAAGGTTTGTCACTGATACAAGGTCCAATCTCTACAATTGAAAGGCCAATGACCCAATATAACGAGATATCGACACGTTGCTATGGGCCTATTCGACTAGAACAAGACTTTGGCTTCCAGAAAACTTTGTCAAGTTTTCGTGACTCACGGACTATACATACATAACCTCTTATTGATCTGCTCCGATCGGGCTAATGTAAAAAAATGGGTTTAGCAGCCTCCTGTTCTGCTCTGGGCTAAAAAAGACGGGCATATATCTTATACTCTTATTCAGGGGAGTGGTGACTCACGATCTGGCGGGTTAATTAGCTCATAATATTAACATTTTATCTTCTGGAAATTAAATTCTAGAACATTTTCTTGAAGTAATAGAAACATAAATAAAGGTGTTGGAAATTTATCTCGATAACAAAAAAATATTTCCTATTTAGGGTAAATGGGTATGTAAAATGGGTAAAAGGCACCATTCTGTCCAGACCAGTAACGTCTTATCTAAACAAAGCGCGTGCCATTAAGCCAATGGTTGATGTCGCGTGATGTGACATGATAAAGCAGTCATCTTTTAGAGAGCTAATCAATCTGGTTAAAACACAGATCCTATTTCGTTTCGTATTTTATAGTTTAAAATTTCGTTTTGCTTGTTCTGGATGGTGTTAGGTATTAGCTAATGAAACGGTCTGTTACGGCGAGCTTTAGGCGTGTTTTGCACGGAATTGTGGGTAATCCATTAGAAACATCAATGCTGATTGGTTAATCAAATGTCTGACATCATAGGATCAAAAGCCGCTCGTATGACCGCTGAAGCGACCTATCCCTATAACTTGTCAGATCTTCATATAGTGTAGGCCATCGAAAGTATACAAAACGAAACGAAATGTAGATTTTTATTTTATGATCAGTAGTGGAATACCGCGTTTTATCAGTGAAATAAAAGTGTTATTCCACTGGCTAGTTGTTTTTACCTAAAGTGATTGTAAAATCATAAAATAAATAGAACATTTGTCGTTTTGTCGTGAATAACATATTTTATTTCATCTACGCATTCGTGAAAATATAAGTTTTCTTGCTTCTCGATGAAATAAAATATGTTATTCACGACAAAACGACAAATATCCTCTTTGTATTGTAATCAGATTGGAGAGCTATTAGTCTTGACAATAACTCTGTTAAACAAAGTGAAACCACCTGGTTAAAATAAAAGAAGTATAGGATACAGTTAAATTATTTTCAAATTGTTTATTCCAATCATTCAACTCATCTCTCATTCCATAATAACAATACAATATCATTTAACATAATCTAATATACAGACCTATACAGTAATCATTTAATATATTATAATATATATTTGAGCTACAGGCACAATATTATCAAATTTTTCTTATTCTTAACAAGTAGGATTGTACTATGGTCCAGGAACCGAAGGTGACGCCATCCCAGCCATGTTGGATTTGTGACGTCATATTAAAAATCTACATCCGACAATCGAGGAACACGCATGCCAAGTTTCATGCTGATCGTACTTAAATTGGCGAATCTTTGGGGTTTTGTTTGAAGAGCGAACCTCACTCCTCCACCCCAGACCACTTGACCACCCCAGTCACAGAGCTAGTATTCCTAAACCTCGGACAACACGTGGTGCTAGAAGATGCGGTAGTTTTGGGGGCTCGTAATGTTAACGGGTAAACCTGTAGTATCCCTTTTAGCAATCAATATCAAAATTTTATAATACTGAAACTGAAAGTAAACTCTGACACTAAAGGGTTAAGATTGTTAATTAATGAAGTTTGATAACCGATGTCCTAACAATAACATATATACAAATATTATAATTTATAAACATATTTCTTTTACTTAAACTACAACAAATAAAAAAAAACATATAACTATAATTACAGTGTATATACTTCAAGAGTCTAAAATATTTCCTAGTTTGGAGAAGTTTCTCTTAGTTTTACTTCATAAGAGATTCATTACTATTAAAGTTCTATGCTTCTGATTGACAAGAAGGTATGAGGAATTTCTCCGAGCAGGAATATTTTAGACTGGTATATTGTGAGGCTTTTGAGAGCAATGAGAAGGTTAAAGAATCTCTTCAAGGCCGAATATTCCATAATAAATGTTTCTGTATCAATCAACTGTACCTGTATCAACCAGTTATACCTGCATCAATCAGTTGTACCTGTATCAATCAATTGTACTTGTATCAACCAGTTATACCTGTATCAATCAATTGTACCTGTATTAATCAATTGTATCAACCAACAGTGTGCTGTGGGGAATATTCTCGCTTCTTCCTTAATCCTGAAGGGCTTCATTCACGTCAACTTGAGATCAACCCAAACCAATTTCTAGTTCTTTGAAGGTACGGGGGGAAATGGCCGATTGGTTAGTGCGTGCGCTTTGTATCATAAAGTCTGTCATTGAGTCCACTGACTTGGTTTCGATTCCCCAGTTGTGTGTGTGACAAGGAGTAGGTTCGTCTGTCCAACCCTCATGGGTTTTCTCCAGTTTCCTCCCACTGCTAACGACCCCTACGTGCAAGCCGAAATGTTAGTCCCGAAATGACCTGGTTAGTGTCGAGTAGACGTTAAACCCCTCCCTCTCTCTCGCCTTTATGAATAGACAGCCACCTGATTCTCAGGAACAATAAATAATAAAACTAAATCCAGATCGGATTCCGCAAGAACAAATATACAAGTAAAATACAGGTAGTTTAAAGATACAAACACTTCATTGGCCAAGAGCAAAATATACTCCAATGAAAAATCTTGATACTTGAAACATTTCAAAAGAGATTTATTTAAATTAGATCCATCAGTACCCTAAAGCCTCTATCATTAACAAATCAATAATAATAATAATAATAACTTAATTAAATGAAAATTCCAATATATCTCCTTTAATATCTTTAGTATGCGGATTAATGGGGTGAATATATACAATTAACAGAAGGGCAGACTACGCTAAAACTAGTAGAGTTGTGTTACTAGAAATTAACGGGGCGTATTATATACAATATATTGAAGCGCAGACTGACGACATGTAAATCCTTCCTTAAAGTTTAACCTCGTATCAATCTGATTAGAATACAGATCTATATTACCTTTCGGTTTTTTATACCGTCGATGGCCTCTACTACATGAAGATCTGACTAATTGTAGACATTTCTAGTGGGTTACGCAAAGAAGTTGCCGTAACAGACCATTTCATTGGCTAATCCCTCACCTCATCTACACCGCCTGTTATATAACAATTTTTCTAGATTCTAGTGTACTGAAGACAAATAAAACCAAACGGAATATGGATCTGTGTTTTATCAGTTTAACCAGTTCTATCACAAATGTGATAATAACTGACACCAATATTGTCCTTTAAGCAAGAATCCTTGAGATTCTGCTCTATATAACCATTCCTGTAATTATTGCACAGCTAAATTCAGTATGACATTCTATATACATATATATTTACACAAACCTAAATTACAATATTTGACACAGTCTTTAAAGGAAAGGTCTGAATGCTTAAAATATTTTAAAGGGTGTAGGTCCAACTTCAACGACCACCGTGTAACAGTGAAGACTGAAGTTCACTATTGGAACGGTGACAATTGAAGTTCACCACTGGCCACACTTTCACATACATGTATATAAAGATGAATTATCATGTTACCACCCAGGCCCAGAACTGTGTTACCACCCAGGCCCAGAATTGTGTTAACACCCAGACCCAGAATCGTGTTAACAACCAGACCCAGAATTAAACTTAATAATATAACATACATACATGTACAAAGCATCATACATACAATAATCGTCTTAACACTCTGGCCCAGAATCGTGTTAACACTCAGAATTAATCTTAATAATATAACATACACACAAAGCATCATATATACAATAATCGTGTTAACACCCTGGCCCAGAATCGTGTTAACACCTAGGCCCAGAATTAATCTTGATAATATACACACAAAGCATCATACATACAGTAATCATGTTACCACCCAGGCCCAGAATTGTGTTAACTCCTACAAACAGAATCGTGTTAACACCCAGGCCCAGAATTAAACTTAATAATATAACAAACACAAATCATCATACATACAATATATTATTAGATTTATGGGTTATATACACTTTAGGTAAGTTTTCTCCAGGTTCTCTCGTTTCATCCCACTGCTACAGAACTTTACGTACAAGCAAATCATTGAAATGAAACTAAACCACATGTTAGTCCCAAAATGAAGGATTGACATTAAACCACACTTGTCTCCCTCTACAGTAAAACATCTACCTTTCCTATATTTTTTAACCATTTTGATTTCATATATATATAAATAATAATTACTGGAAAACTGCATCACAGATAAACAAACAGTAAGCCAAAGACGAACCCCAGACAATGTAAGCAATATAAAATAGAAGCACTATCATATCAAGTGAATAGATACAGGGATACAGGCTACAGATGTTAGTGGCCACTGCACTGAAAACCAACTCACAACAAGGGAGACAATCCACAAAAACAAGAATGACAGCACCTTTGTTATTTTCAAGCTTTTTTAGTTCTGTAATCTGGCTTCAAACCCCAGCTCCTGTTAGCTGTAACTAGTGAACAGATCATGTTTAGATGTAGACAAGTTACTAAATATAGAACTGACCTTTAGTCTTACAGAGATTTACAGCAATATAGATATAACATGGAGTCAGACCGATATATACAGTAATATAGGACAGGACAGTAAATAATGGCAACATAGGGTTCTCAGTTCACTTATACTGACCTGTCAGATCAAATCAAATCAAAATTTCAAAGAATTTAACAGTAATACACAATTAAATTCATAGTTTTTGTAAAACACAGCTAAATTTATAGTCTTCATGCGTAAAACACAGTTATATATATATTTGGGATAATGCTAATAATTGTCATATTCTTTGAAAAAAATAATATATCTTACAAATTCAAGAAAACACAATACATGATAAATTACTGACCAATTTCTGAAGTGAGAGCCCTGATGTAGAATGATTAATGACAACGGGCCTGGAAATAGAGGCTTCAATTGTAGGCTAGCTGTCGAAATGTCATACACCATTGAACTTTCGTACCAGGCATGTATATCAATAAAAGTGGGACTGAGCAAAACGACAGGTACTACCAGAGTGATTACCTCGGATAAAACCAGAATTTGTGTCTGATAATTTTCTGTGACATGTGCCTTATTTACAGGCTTAGTTACTTTACAACTTTTCATTCTTAGCCCCAACAGGGGGGGGGGAGAGAGAGAGAGAGAGAAATGGGGTTTAACCTCCACTCGACACAAACTAGGTCATTTGGGGACTATCATACAGTTCAATTTTAGTTCAATAATTTGCTTGCGTGTAGGGGTCTTTAGCAGTGGGAGGAAAATCACGAGGTTGGACAGCCGACCCTATTCCTTGTCAAGTTTAGCCAGGGAATCAAAACCCCACCAGTTGACTCAATGACAGGTCTTATGATACAGCGAGAACATGCTAACCATTCGGCCACCCCTCCCGCGCTAACAGAGAATAAATAATGTTAACAACATATGACAAGAGTTTGACGTATGTTTACGCTATCAACAACCAAAAGAGAAACAAGATGGCCACCCAGAGAAAGATTCGAGATAAAAACTGTTCTTCTGTATGTTGAGGTGAGCCAGCTTGAGCTGTAATATAAAACAACAATACAATTTTAACATTCAGTTTAATTACAATCTTTAGATTCAAACAAAGGAATAAACATCCTACTACTCCATATCACACAAACTAGGTCTTTTCGAGACTAACACATGGTTCACAAACCAATAGCGCAGTGGACGCTTACGGCTAGCCCCCGGATCCTTTCACTATTTTGAATTGTCTGTATGTTTGTGTTTTCCTGAGTATGATGTCCTGTCCGTGTATTTGTTTTTGTGTAAATTTTGTGTGGTGCAGTCCCCCTTCACTTACTATACTAGTATTCGACATTAACTGGGATAATGAGAAAGAGAGAGAGAGAGAGAGGGAGAGAGAGAGAGGTCTACTAATGCATGGTTCACAAAACAATAGAAGTCCTACTATTCCACATCTACTGGGCTAACGAGAGAGAGAGAGGTCTACTTGACATAAACTAGGTGATTTCGGGACTAACATATGGTTCAATTTTATTTCAATAATTTGCTTGCGCGTAGGGGTCTTTAGCAGTGGGAGGAAACCGGAGGACATGGAGAAAACTCATGAGGTTGGACAGGCAACCCTACTAATTACGTACGCTAACGTGTATACGGTGCTAACCATTCGGCCACGAAACCCCCGAATGAGCAAAAGAAATTAAATGAAATGGGGTTTAACGTCCTACTGTTTTGCTCCGAACTGGGCCAATGAAGACGGGCATACGCCATAAAGTGTGCTATGAGGGAAATTTTGCCTGGACAACGGCACTACGGCCTACTCTTATATCAAATTGCAACTGCCAAGGGATCTTTTAAGTACACGCCAATGTATACATGGGACCTCTGGTTTTCATGTCATCCGAATGACTAGACAGCTGTCCTTGTCAGACCCTCCGTCTTGCATCACTGACAAGGGGGAACCACGCCGGAAAATCTGGGTAAAAATTAGCAAAAGACACCAACCACTACTACAATAGGTTGCTGTGTGTACAAAGTGTCATAAAGGTATCTTGCTGGACATCAAGGATATTATCTAATACATTAAGAGATGTTTTGGTACTACACAATGTTATAAACTATTGTCCAACAGATGGAGTGAAATTTGTTATATTATTTGCTTGAAAACGTCACTTTAGTTAAAATAGTAATTGTGTTCCATATTATGTTTTTGTGTTCATTAAGTATGTCAATTGCTAAATGACGTTGCTAAATGATGTTTCGAAGTATTTATTCGTAGCTAACTCTTACATATCAACCATTTGGGAAAGGTATATATACACATACTTGAAGTGATATTTGAATACTGTTGTCTGAACATTAAGAAAAATTTAGTCCACCTGTTTTACCAAACATAAAAACCGTCTGTCGGCTACAACTCAAGGATCGAACATTTCAAGTACTGTAATATTTTATCAGGCTTCGAAATAAGCAAACGCAAAAGCGTGCTAAAATATGACTATAGCAGGCTAGATTTAAACTATAACGCAAAGTTTTGTGTCTACGGTAATTTTGGTTTAAAAGCAGATTTTAAAACTTTTTCTATAGCCCAAATCTCTGAAAGGTTGAAAGCATTTACGACATAATCTCATGAAAGACTCACTTCCCTTGAACAAACACCGGACAAATAATATATGCAAAACTCAAATCATGTGATATTATTGACCAATCGTGTTATCCATTGGGTTTTTGTTGTTAATTAGCGAAGTATCTTTTTATGCAGTGCGAACCAGTTTGTTGTATTTTCTAATTAAACTGGAAAATTATCAATATTGATTGAAAAAAGAAGCGTGACCCCTGGCTTTAGGAAAAATAACAAGTAGTAAAACTTACGAGGTCCAGGGCGATTATCTGACATATTAAACGAAGACGTAAATATTCCAAAGGGAAAGGCACCAATTCCAAAGGAAAACTGAAATCCACCATCGCCAAAGCCAAATGCTGGGAATCCCTGAAAGAAGAATTGTCTCGTAGTTTACAGTCATGAAAAATCTCTTCCAAACATGACTATCACAATCTTTCACGTTCATGAAATGGTGCTGCAGCCATTAAAAAAACCTGCCGCCAATTAAATAATTGAGAAAAAAGCTCCTGTATAAAGATCCCTCTTCGTTATCATATTACAAGAGTAATTCTACATTTTCTTAAATTAAGGAGTGACAAATTGTATTATGCTTTAGTTTTGTCTCATTTTCTCTTTTGACCTCTTTGTCGGCATGCTTAGTGCACAATTTGCACTAAAGACCAAACCAATTTTACAAACTCATTTTTGCCCCCCTTTGTGGCTATTTGACCTTAGAAATTCCAATTTAAAAATGTTGCATATTTGAGAGTTTTGACCATCTCCAGACATATTGATAGCGATAAAACGCATGACAAGCAGTACATGAAAACATTTAAACAACGTAATGTTATTATTAGACATGTCGTTCTATCATTCCCACGGATATTCTCCATCAGCATCCGGTGACATATTAGACTGCAAGTAATATTGTATTCTATTGGCTGGTTTTAGACTGCCATCCAATTAAAATAAGCCTTACATTAGCATTCAATATGTTTGGTGAATAATTATGGCAGCCCTAGTTTTACCATGGAAACACCCATAGCATAAAGAATGAGGTCACTATACTCAAACATACATGTATGCAGTTTTAAAAATAAACAAAAACTGAAAGTACAGTAGTTTATGAATCTCAATATTTAGGAGAGTGATTTAGTTAATTAGCGAGCATATTAAATGACTCCCCTAATATAAGTTGAGGCGTGTCAGGATGCGCATGAGGGAAACACGCTTTAAATATGAAGGAATGTTATCCCGGAAAAGAAATAAAATAGGGAGAGCCAGAATGGAAATGAAATGGTGTTTAGCATCCTACTTTTCTGCTACGAGGGACGTTTGGACCAGACAGAAGGGCTTCAGCTTACTCTTATATCAAATCCCAAATGCCAATATGTACACGGGGCCCAAATTTGGTTCCATCTAAACGACTAGACATTGACCCTTGCCATAGAGTATCATGGAAATGTAAGGAATGAAATGGGGTTTAACGTTTTACTGTTCTGCTCCGAACTGGGCTAATGAAGACGGACATACGCCATACAGTGTGCTATGACTACTATGAGGGAAATTTTGCCCGGACAGCGGCACAATGGTCAGGGGATCTTTTACGGGCAAGTCAATGTGTACACGGGACCTCGGTTTTACGTCCCATTTAAACGACTAGACAGCTGTCCCTGTCAGACCCTCCGTCCTGCCTCACTGACATGGGACGGAAGCACGCCGGAAAATCTGGATGAACTTTCTCGGCAAATGCAGGGATTGAACACCCAATCTCCAGACTCGCGAGCCAGCGTCATACCCACTTAGCTACTGTGACCCCCCCCCCCCCCCAGAGTATCATGGACTCAACAAATAAATGAATGGCAGCTATTAGCATCAAATACGTACCCCGGTGTTTTCAGGTTCCGGTCTCTGTCCTGATGGGCGTGGTGGTAATTTCTCTCTAGAGAAAATAAAAACAACAATTCCGTTAAGAGGATACTCTATACATGTAGTTTAAAAGATCTACTGAGTTGCAGACAATAATGAGAGATAGAGAGAGAGAGAGAGAGAGAGAGAGCTACATGTAACATTAATTAGCAGCTTGAGGAAACCAGGGGACATGCAGACGACTCACAAGGTTGAGAAGGTGACAATTTCTAAACAAACAATACAAAATTCTTAATCGGTTTGATATATTCTGAAATCATCAAATTTCGTTCAAAGATAGATATGTACATAGAAATGAATAGTCAGCAATCCCATGGCCTAGTGATCAGTACCACGGTCAACAATATCATGCCCCTAAAAAGAGAGAAATGGGGTTAAATGGCCACTCGACACAGACATACGGTTCAATTTTATTTCAATAATTCACTCGTACGTAGGAGTCTTTAGCAGTGTGGAGAAACTGGAGGACCAGGAGAAAACCCATGAGATTGGTCTGGTGACCCTACTCCGCGTCACATACATGCCCCTAAATCTTACAGTCAGTGGTCCCAACACTAATATATCATAAAACTTTAGGGTTATTTAGCAGTTGGAAGAAACCAAGTGACAACTTCCAAACAAACAATACAACATTCTGAATGAGTCTGATCTGAAATCATCAAGATTTGTATTTAATATGCCCAAGTGACTACAACACTAAAGTATACATTAATAATTACCTAGGATCCTGTGGATTTGGATTTCCTCTTCCGTATATGGGTATAACTTTATCTTTACCTATTCCAGCTTTACAAACCGGACAGAGTTGTCTCTGGGGACGAGTTTCTAACCACTGGTGTAAACATGGCCAGCTGAAGAATACAATAAATAAATAATTTATATATGTCCACTCGACACAAACTAGGTCATTTCGGAATGAACACATGGTTCAATTTTATTTCAATAATTTGCTTGTGCGTAGGGGTCTTTAGCAGTGGAAGGAAACCGGACTGCAGGACCCGGAGAAAACCCACGAGGTTGGACAGGCGACCCTACTCCTTGTCACGTACAACCAGGGATTTGAAACCACGCCAGTTGACTCAATGACAGGTCGTATGATACAGCACACACATGCTAACCATTCGGCCACCCAACCCCCCCCCCCCCCAGTAAGTAAGTAAGACTTTGGCTAATTAATAGAGCTGTGTCAATACAGTTCATTTTCGATACGATACGGCAAACCGGTACGCGATACGTATCGCGATATGATGACATCATGAATTATGCCCAAAATAATCTCAAACTACATTCTGTTTCAAGATGTTTGAGATGGGTAAGTATCAGGGTTCTTAATCCATTTGAAACGAACCGGCCAGAATTGGGTCAATTGAGGTCCCGTAGAATATGGGTTAATTATTATATCCATTCCCTTTAATATAACTAGACTTCAACAAAAATAATTCTTGGCAATTTGTTGTGGAGAATGTCATATTTTAAGGTATGTGATTACCACAAAAATAACGACAGGTACACCTTTTGAAAAATGTTCATATTTAATTCATGTACCATCTTTAAGTTTACGTCCAGAATAAATTAATTACTGTCTCCTTTTATTCGATGAAACATTCACGTTTCATAAGTCGATGATCTAAAATATTAGCATTATTCAACTATTGCCAGTATCAGAAAATGCTGTAGCCAAAATAAACTGTCTTCATAACACAATTTGTAGTCTTTGTCTATCAGGTACCAAGTCACGTAACTTGGTAAAAGTTTTTATTCATTCGTCAATTGATAGACACATGGCACAGTTGTCACGTGACAACCATACTTGAAATTGCTTTAAAATAAAAATTCCATACGATTATGATATAGCCTTCAATAAAAACAATATTTTTAAAATTAAGCCTTTGTCAGAATGTGTATAAAATAAACAAAATCATAATGGTAAGCGCTGTTTAGAAATGGTTTTATTGACCTAATTCCAAGCGATATGTCACGTGTCATTGGAATTCTATCAGGAAAATATATTATTAAATGACTGTTTCTCGGTGTATTCGGTGTTCTATCAGGGGATTATATTCAATGAAGATTTAAATATACCTAACAACTGGTCAGTGAATTCATCCAGTTATTATTTTAATGTCTACCAGTACATGGAAATCATACGGAGCGTGCAAGACACTCAATTGGTAAACCATGCAGAGATCGTCTTCTTTCACCACGTGGGTTTCATGGTCTTTCTTAACCGAAGAATTTTTTCAATGATACGGCTATATTACGTATCGATATAAATATCGCTGGAACGCATCGATATATCGACACAGCCCTACTAATTGACCTGGAATTCCTGTTGTTGATCGAAAAAAGGGGTTACCCTTGTCATTAGTGCAGAATGGAAGGCCTGGCAAGGAACAAGTATAGTCGTTCAGATGGGACAAAAAAACCGAGGTTCTGTGTACACATAAAAAAAACCTTGACTTTTGGAATTCAAAATAATAGTAGGCCGTAGCGTTACTGGCAAATAGCCAAGATGAAAAGCACCCTAGCTGCTAGCCAGCCTAGAGTCTTGACGTACTCTGTTAGTCTGCATTCATACCGGTACTTCAACTAAACTTTACTTTAAAGATATTGTCTTTTTTAGTTCTAATATCACTCAACATATATATATACATGGCTCGAAATGTTCGCCTGTCTACTTGTCGCCGACAGGCGATTTTTTCGTCTGACAGGTAGCAAGTAAAACTACCTGTCGCTTGCGAAATTTGGACTAGATATTACATGATGTTCAGTAAATTGACTTAAGACCACAATACTCACGTCCACGTCACGTACATTTAATTATTCGTTTCTAAATGCAAGAATTAAGCACGGAAATATCGTGAAAAGCCGCCATTTGCACTGTTTACATTTCGCTCTGTCGTAGGCAGCAGTTACTCACACAATTTGGAAGTAGACAATTTTTTAACAATGGATTTCACATCATCTACGCTTGTTTCCTTCTGCTTGACGTTACTTTATAGCATATGAAGTATTATACATGTACCGGTATCTAAATAAATTAAAACGCACCCTCAGGTCATCTAAAATAGTTCTATCGTAACGCCACCACAGTAAATATAGTGGTAGCTGGAATGGAAATGCACACAGCTCATTGCCTGGTGTGTTTAATCATTTAAAAAGTTTAAAACAATTTCCATAAATAAAGGCTATGAATAATTTATAAGACAATTTGACAAAATCAAAAAATCAGGTCGGAAAAATATTTCATATATAAATATAATTTGTAGCGTAAATATAGCCCGGATATGTGAGAAGGGAATTCCAGGTGGCGTTTTATCTGTCCTTCGCACACGGTACATGTAAATACGGTGCCATGCACAGGTGTGATTTGTGTTTTGATATTCAATTTATTACGGATATTTTAAAATCTGAATTCTACAACTCAACTGTGAAGTATTCGATTTAGTACCGAAGTGTGGTACCATGATACTTTGCGGAATTCACGTGGATACGGATGATAGAATTGTACGAATCTTCGAGTCGCTGAGCCAAAGCAGATTCGCCGACTTTCAAGAACTTTTAGGCAATCCGATGTCGAAGAAATAAAAAGGTTTCATATTTATATAGAGCAATGTACGTCAAAGACCTAACCACGTGTGTGTGTACCTACATGTATGGATATGTGTCATGTGTGATGTGATTAGTTTTTGGGTTTGATAATTGAGAGTGACAGGTTATTTACTGAAGCGACAGGTATGAAGAAAAGCTACCTGTCGCTTGTGACAGGTAGCTTTTTTTAAACATTTCGAGGCCTGTAGACAACAGTGATTGATGCTGATTGATATTACAATTCCTCAAGGTGTGCATGTATTATATAATAATACCAGCTGTGACATTGTTATAACATTGACACAAGCTCGTGAGTGACCGGTGACATGTCATTTCATCTACCCAGTCCCGTGCTTATACTTTCTACAATCAACAATATCGCCAACAAGTACGTCAACAGTATTAGTTTTCCAATTATTGAATTAAACTAAAAATAAATAATCTTACCAGAACAGATGACCACACATACTAACAACGGCATCATGCGCCGTATCTAAACAAATATTACATTCATAAACTGCTGCCTTTTCGTCTTCGCCATTATTTTCACTTGGTCCAGGATTACTTGAAGCAGCACCGGCTGAGGCTTCCGCCGGTTTCGAAGAATTGTCGGTGCTCATGTTACGCCTCTAAACGTTCAATGTGTACTTTTCTAAAATTACTGCGACTAAATTTAATGAAATAAACGGCCTTCACACAGGAATCAAGTTTACATCATACAACAAGATTTCGCAGAATTGTAGGCGGAAGTATACGAATCATTGCGCTTGCGCACTACAAATGTCATTTCCACTGAAGATAACTCTTTTCAATTTTTTCTTGCGGATGCAGACCACCACTAATTCATCTGCCCAAGAAGAAAAATGAAATGAAATGGGGTTTATAACGTCCTACTGTTCTGTCCCTACTGGGCTAATGACGATAGGTATACGCCATGCAGCGTGCTATGCGGGAATTTTCGCGCTACGGCCTACACTTATTTCGAATTACAAGGGTTCTTTTACGTGCATGCCTACACGTTCTCCCTTACCTGTGTGAACTGGTAGTGTAAATGAACCATTGGCAGTTGGTGTAATATTTATGTCGGACATATTATACAATATAAAGGCATAAATAATTAGGATACAAAACAACACAAGTATATTAATTTGCTTCCTGGTTGCATAAGGTGTATAATAGACGGAGAAATGGGGTTTAACGTCCACTCGACACAAACTAGTTCATTTCGGGACTTACATATGGTTTAATTTTATTTCAATAATTCACTTGTGCATAGGGGTCTTTAGCAGTGGGAGGAAACCAGAGGACCCGACGAAAACCCACGAAGTTGGACAGACGACCTTACTCCTTGTCACGTACAACTGGGGAATCGAAACCACGCCATTTGACTCAATGACAGAGCTTATGATACAACCATTCGGCCATCCACCCCCACCCCACCCAGCCTCCCTGGCGCATCAATTAAACTGCAAACTACATTGGTTGCCTTTCTCCTTTGGAATCATTCTGATTAAAACACAGATCATATTTCGTTTCGTTTTTTTTTAGTTCAAAATCTCGTTTTACTTGTCTTTACTATACTAGGATCTGGAAGTGTTGTTATATAACAAGCGTTCTAGTTGACGTCGAGAATTAGTCAATGAAACGGTCTGTTACGGCGTGTTTTTGGCGTGTTCTGGGCGGAACTGTGGGTAAACCTATAGAAACGTCAACGCTGATTTATTAATCAATTTCTGATGTCATAGGGTCAAAAACCGCTCGTATGACCCCTAATACGACCTCTAAGTACAACTGATCACATCACCATGTAGTGTAGGCCATCGAAAGTATAAAAAAAAACGAAACGAAATATAGATCTGTATTTTAATCATATTGATTTGTTTGTGGTATATCTTTAATTAACGTAGGGTGTGTGTGTGTGGGGGGGGGGGGGGTACACCATCCATCAGACATCGTGCTGCCGTGGTGTCTCAGTGAGTAAGATGTCGCTAACCTGATGTTCACCCGGGTGCACGGCGTCAGTGGTTCTACCTTGGCCACACCATCGACCATACATCGTAGAGCCGTGGGGGCTCAGTGAGTAAGGAAGCCACGGTGGCTAAGTGAATATGTTACTAGTTTCTCTGATTATATCGTGTCTCTTGGCAGCTACTATGATGAGAATAACGATGACGAGGATGACGATGATGAGGATGATAAGGATGACGATGATGACGATGATGATGATGATGATGATGACGATGGCGATGATGACAATGACAATGATAAGGACGATGATAAAATGACGATGATGAGGATGACGATGATGAGGAATGACGATGCAGAAAATGAGGATGATGACGAGGGTGAGGATGACGAGGATGAGGATGACGATGGTGACGATGATGACGATGACGACGATGATGAGGTTGACGATGACGATGATGAGGTTGACGATGATGAGGAGCCGATGCAGAAAATGATGTCACAGTGACCGTGAAGATGACACGATATTTTACTAATCCTTATTTCACTATTCTTATATAAATTATTATACGTTTTAAACAATCTAAACATGCCATTATTATTTGTGTATTATCATTTAGAGGCGGATTAATATAAGTAAGCTTTATATTTTGTTTCCTTATCCTTATAATTTATTATCTATTGTATATGTTAAATAAATACTGTTTAAACTAATCGATTTTAACAAAAATCAATATATACATGTACAGTCGGTTATATTGTTCAAGTCTACCTCTTGTGTGTTTTCTTGTGGGTGACTAAATGGAAACAAGAATCTTAATTGATGATTAATATTTCTAAATTCTTTTTATTAAACATGCATTATGCAAGAGCTAAATCTGTCTATTGCAGGTCTTTCTTTAGGCCTGAAATGTTATTTGAATTATTAATTAGATATTTATTAACCTATCCAGACCATAATCAACTCTAGATGGCATCTCTAGCCTGCGATCTTAAGTGGACCGTGGGCCAATTTATTGCATAACTTTCCTTCTAGATTTAACGATTAAATGGATAATCGAGACTATGCTGCTTATCGTACTGACTTTAGTAATGATGACCGAGGCTAGGCAGAAATTTCATTCGCTTAGTTCTCGGTTCATAGTGGATCAATTTGAATGAAATTTTCAGCAAATTGCCTTTACGTTATCTAGATTTTAACTAGTATAGTGAGAACTGCCAACTCGTTATCGAATCTCCCATAATGTATCTTTAAACAAATAATCAACATCATTAACAGCAGACAATTAATATTGGTATAACCGCTTAATGGAAAAAAATCTCCAATATGGATATGGGATTGACATAAACGTACACGTGTCTCCAAGTATCCAAATACAGGTATAACTGAAGTTTGTCCTTAGGGATGTGATCTGAAGTTGATCTCCTAATGACAAGTTTCCATGACGGTTTTTCTCTTAACTGACTCATTTCGGTCTATATATTCCCCATGTATTTACCTAGGACATTAATCCTATAAATCTATTGTCTATACAAACAATATACCCTGGTAACTAAAACGTTATAGCCCGTAGACGTTAATTAAAATTTATAAGGCCAATTTAAAGTGTAAAAGAACGAATACAAGAGACGGGTGATTAAAGAAATATTTAAGACAATATAAAGTAGATATAAATGGGGGGTAATTAACGTGGATTATAAACCTGTTTCGGTAAATCTCTTTTATCTCTGGGGTATATTCTATGCCCAGAATAACTTGCGGCTTTCGATATATACAGGGAAATTTGGGGTTATTCTTCTGAAAGTTTTTCTTTAAACCTGTAACAGGTTATTCTTCCAGGGTAGGGTTTTTTCCATAAGAAAACATGATCTAAGGTTTTTCTTATGGGAATTCTGGGATATTCTCATCTTGCGTACATGTAAACATAGACGGTTTATAAGCAAGATAAAGTCCTCGACTTCGGTTATGCTGGGGAAGAAAGACTTCAGAAAAAAAACGGGTTATTTTCTTCAGTCTTTCTTCCCCTAGCATAACCGAAGTCGAGGACTTTATCCTACACTTAAAATCCGTTAAAATATAATTTACTGAATTGAGTAATACTGTGCGGATTAGCACGACTTATTAAACATTTTCCAGCCTCGTGGGTTTTCTCCGGGTCCTCCGGTTTCCTCCCACTGCCAGTGCTAAAGACCCCTACGCTCAAGCGAATTATTGAAATAAAATTAAACCATATGTTAGTCCCAAAATGACCTAGTTTGTGTCGAGTGGACGTTAAACCCCATTTCTCTCTCTCTCTCTCTATTAAACAAATTTGCTATTGGGTCGCAATTCACTCTCCAATCGTATATCCATGTATGATCGGTATTATATCGTATATCGCCTTGAGTCGAAAATAAGTCTAGGTAATATTTAACAATTATTACAGGCTTTATTTAAGTATATACGAAAAGAATTACGCAATATGGCAGAAAACATGTTGACGGTTTCACGATTTCGCTTATTTAATTCTTCATATTTCTTTATACGTCACATTAATTCTGTTATTCACGGGTAAAAGAATTTTTCTCAGATATACGAAAGAACGGAAATAAATCATTATAACTAGATTACTGCGTTTGCGTTTTCAATTCACGTAGATGACTGTTTTGTTTGAGATTTTACAATCAATCATCAACGATAATCGATATCTACACCAAGCAAGCCCAGCGAACGTCTTGGGTCACCGTTCATTATTATCATTAGTTAGATTTGACGACGTAGGTGTTGAACACGGTACGTAGGGTTGTCTTATAGTTAATGATATCCTTAATTATACCTGATATTATGTTTGTTGTATCAGGTATATATATTCGTACAGGTGTTAATATAGAAGAATACATCCGGAATATAATCAACTGGATTCCAGGTAAGCTTATATATATATATATATATATCTTTATATCGACCGGTTTGTCTTGTCCCAATTAATTTATATATGAATGATATTGACCTTTGTCCGTCTTAACAACTAGAAATGGAGAAGTTCTTAACCGAATTTTACTTCCATGTTTTTTTTAAAATTTAAATGGACTTATGGCCAGCCATTGCAAGGCATCCCCCCTCCCCACATCACGTATTTAAATGCATTTTGTGTTTATGTATAAATAATCGGTTGAGTGGAGCGATTATTAAAATAATAATTATATTTTAATCCTGTTATTGATCGTGCGCTTATATATCAGATATCTCAAGATTAAATCCACACTAATATGAACTCAGGTTGACTATTTAAAGGGGCCACAGCGGCTAAGTGGGTAAGACGATGGTTCGCTAGCCCGGAGGTTGGGTGTTCGATTTCTTCATTGACAGAGAAAGTTCAGCGGGATTTTCTGACGTGGTTTCCTCATGGCAGTGGTGCAGAATGGAGGGCCTGACAATGATAGCTGTCTAGTCGTTCGGATGGGACGGAAAACCGACGACCTGTTTATACATTGGCGTGCGCGTAAAAGATCCCTTATTGGCAGTTGGAATTCGATCTAAGAGTAGGCCATACTGTCGCTACCCGGGAAAAATGTCCCTCATAGCACACTGTATGCCGTATGCCCGTCTTCGTTAGCCCAGTCGGAGCAGATCAGTGGGACCTGACGTGACCTTCCACTACAACTGGTCAGATCTTCATGTAGTGTAAAAAAGTATTTAAAAAAAAAAACGAAACGAAATGTAGATCTGTATTTGAATTAGATTGGTTTTCTATAATCTGTTTTTGAACTATTTATCACGACGGGTCATCTCTTTATCTAAATCGTACATAATGCATATTTAAATGAAATGAAATGAAATGGGGTTTAACGTCCTACTGTTCTGCTCCTAAACTGGGCTAATGAAGACGGGCATACGCCATATAGTGTGCTATCGAATTCCATCTGCCAAGGGATCTTTTACGTGCACGCCAATATGTACACGGGACTTCGGTTTTTCGTCCCATCCAAACGACTAGGCAGCTGTCCTTGTCAGGCCCTCTGTCCTGCATCACTGACAAGGGGAAACCACGCCGGAAAATCTGGATTAACTTTCTCGGCCAATGCAGGGATCGAACACCTGATCTCCAGGCTAGAGAGCCAGCGTCTTACCCACTTAGCCACTGTGACCCCCTTTAAAATAAAACAAATTGATCATAATATCAACAACTTGGATTCAATTGGCTTTGAAACAGATCTATCATTAACCTTTCTTGTACAACATGGAGCCACGGTGGCTAAGTGAGTAAGACGCTGGCTTGCTAGCCTGGAGGTCGCTGGTTCGATCCCGGTGTTGGCCGAGAAAGTTCGTCGGGGTTATCCGTTGTGGGTTTCCCCTTGATGCAGGATGGAGCGGGGGCCTGACAAGGACAGCTGTCTAGTCGTTCGGATAGGACGAAAACCCGATTTCACGTGTATTTTAGTCAAAACACTAAGTATACTTGGCGAATTGGGAGAAGTATTTTTTCTACTTCCATTTAATCAAATAGAAAAAGTTTAATTAGTCTTTGTGTGTATGACAGGTGTGTATGACAGGTGTGTATGACAGGTGTCAAACGGAGTAGAAACGCATTACAAAAACAGTATATTAATTTTTAGATATGGAAGCCATTCAAGACAGAGATCTATTCTCGAAGTATGAAGTAGATAGTCCTCTGTGTGCAAAATGAGACAATTGGCGTTTTTGTGAGTCGATTAGATTAGGTTTTGATTTGATAGTACGATTTGGTATGATTTCGATTTGATTAGCTATGGTCCACAAATGTAAAATTTGATAATTACGATTTGGTAAGACGGCTGCCATCACGGACACCGATCAGAAAAAAAAATTGTCTCTGCTAATTATTGATGACTTGTTAAAGACAAATGAAGGTTATCTACGCAAAAAAGGAAAAATGGTTGCCGTTAGAAACAATCTCCTATGTCCAACAAGTTCAAGTATTTTTTTGAAAACTGAAGTGACAAAACATGTAAAAAGTTTACTGAGAAAACCTAGGATCGAGGAATATATTGAAAAAACTGTAAATGAATAAAATTGCTTAGAGGTGATCTAACATTCTTGTGGACTATAAAGTTAACATTAAACACGTCAAATGCGTTTTAAAAAACATTTTTATGGAGAAAAACAACAATAAGCATTAAAAATTACTTACGACGTCGAACATTCCGCCATTTTGAAAAAGTCAAATCTAATCGCCTAAACACCTCCTGGGACGATTAGGTCGATTTGCCTAATCAGTTGAGTTAAATCGTCTTACAAATGTAACGATTAGCATAATCAACTTGGTTCACAAATGCGTATAATAACTAATCGGTCTAATCTAATCGGTTCACAAAAACGCGTAATGTTAATTCGGCGAGGCGTTCCGATTGTACTCAGGGCGTATCAAAAGACACATAATGAATGTATATGAGAGTGGAGCGGAGATAGTCGAAATTCATTTCATAATTACAGTTTAGTTTACAAAATGATCGTCACGTCCCAGGTTGTTTTAGACTTAATTTAACTATCCCGAACCCGAAAAAAAATAACGATAATAGGGACTGAGTGGTCGAATTGTTTAACGCGTGCGCGTTGGATCATAAGGTCAAGTTGCGTGGTTTCGATTCCCCGGTTAGATGTGACAAGGAGTTGGGTCCCCTTGTTTACCCTCGTGGGTTTCCTCCGGGTCCTCCGGGTCCTCCGGTTTCCTCCCACTGCTAAAGACCCCTACGCGCAAGCGAATTATTGAAATAAAATTGTAACATATTATGTTAGTCTCGAAATGACCTAGTTTGTGTCGAGTGGACGTTAAACCCCATTTCTCACTTTCTCGAATGATAATAAAAACGATACCATGCGTACATACTGCACGTAAAAATCCTTTAACACGGGGAATTTTTAGAAGTCAACTCGTAAACTTCCTTGTAGACCTTCAAGATACAATTCTAATCTCCCAGAACGTCAGTATTGACGTCACTGGTTAATACACCTTTTTACCTGTACCATTGCAACCCAAGTTATAACTCTTTTCACCTGTAACTCTAGACATATCTCTTTTTACCTGTACCGCTAGTTTGAGATCTATTAAGAACTCACAGTGGCGTTATAATATTTGTGAATTTATTAAGAATCCACGGTGGTGTTATTCAGAACTAAAAATGACTTTTATATGGTGTTTACTCGACCTTTTAGTCCAACAAACTAACCGACATCGTTGGAATATTATCGCAGAATATTATCGAAAGAGATTTTTTGTTTCTATTATAAAGAAGATGATTGCCTTTTCGTGTTATAAGCTAATTAGAAAAAGCATTATAATAGGTACAATTCGTGCTGTTTCATATTATCTATCATTAACATGGATAAACAATTAGGCAGGTGGCGTGAATGCTATTGTCTCCAATATCATGCGATCCGGAAGATTAAAGCGCGTAACACCAGGTGTCCAGGTGTCGCTCAGTTCTTTCCACATCGTTTCCGTATCTATTTGATTCCCGATTTTATATTGGTTTATGAACTGAAATGAAATTGGGTTTGACGTCCTACTGAGCTAATGAAGACGGGCATAAGCCAGAGTGCTATGAGGGAAATTTTGCCCGGACAGCGGCACTACGGCCTACTCTTATATCGATTTCCAACTGTCAAGGTATCTTTTACGTGCACGTCGATGAGTACACGGGACCTCGGTTTTTCGTTCGATCAGAACGACTAGACAGCTGTCCTTGTCAGGCCCTCCTTCCAGCACCACTGACAAGGGAGAACCACGCCAGAAAATCTAGATGAACTTTTTCGGCCAATGCAGGGATCGAACACCCGACCTCCAGGCCAGTGAGAAAACCCACGAGGATGGACAGGCAGCTCAACTCCTTGTCACGTACGACCGGGGAATCGAAACCACGCCAGTTGAATCAATGACAGACCTTATGATACAACACACACGCGTTAACCATTCGCCCCCACCCCTCTCAAGTATGCAGAACGTGTGACAAAATAACACTGGGGCATATCGCTCTGAATTAATTAATCTTCACCGTTACTATACCAACACAAAATACATAACAATAAAAACTGTATAACACATGGAATTCATACAAGTTGAAAATTATTTGATTCCTGTTGTAAAATTATGGTAATGGTTACCTGGAATTCTAGTCATGTTTGTGTAACTATGGAACAATGTGGGTTTATAGATTTCCAATTGTCGTGGTGTGGAAATGGTCCGTCATTAGACTCATTAACTATATAAGTTAGATGACACGTAACAACTATTACAACTTTTACAACATATTACAGACACGAAATCACTGCCACAAAAAAATTAAAGGAGTTAAATCTGTATCAGATGGGCGAGAGAGAGAGAGAGAGAGAGAGAGGGAGTAGGTCATTTCGGGACTAACATATAGTTCAATTTCAATAATCAGCTTGCGGGTAGGAGGAAACCGGAGGACCCGGAGAAAACCCACGAGGTTGGACAGGCGACTCTACAATATTGTAAAGATAAATCTCTTAAAGGAATGATTTAATTCCGTTCAACATTTATAAGATATAGGGAATAGAAATATTTCATCGACTTTAACGTCCACTCCAAACAAACTAGGCCATATCGTGACACACAGACATGTTCAATTTTATTTAAATAATTTGCTAGAGGGTGGGGTGGAATGGGGGGGGGCTGAGGACCCCACATCTTGTCACGTACAAACGGAGAATCGAAACCACGCGCACGCGTTTATCTACTTGACTACATATCTCTCAATATGGACACAAATGGGAAATGAAATGAAATGAAATGAAATGAAATGAAATGGGGTTTAACGTCCTACTGTTCTGCTCCTATACTGGGCTAATGAAGACGGGCATACGCCATACAGTGTGCTATGAGGGAAATTTTGCCCGGGCAGCGGCACTATCGCCTACTCTTATATC